AGTGTCTGTTGTGATATTGCCTTTTTCATCTCGTATGCTAGTAATTTGAGTTCTCTCTCTTCTTCTCTTTGTTAGCATGGCTAAGGGTCTGTCTTTAGAAAGGGATGGGGGAGGTGACTTTTGCTACAGAGTAATGGGCAATGTGCATCAATGTAGGGTAAATGAAGTGTGTCGTGTGGCTCAGGCTTGGGATCCCATCACCCAAGCTGGTCCTGTCGGTGTGTCACACCAGCAATTCAACCAGAGACGCTTTTAGTCCTAAACAGCTTATTTTCTCCAGATTTAACAGGAGCATGTCTGCATTTTGCAGGATCAGTAATGAAATGGGTTTTCCCTACATAGTTCTTTAGCTGTCTCATTTTTGTGAATTTGACTATCTTGGGGAAAACCACTCTAGAAAACCCATCCATGTTAAATAATCATAATCATAGATACTCTCAGCTTGCAATAAAATCCAAAACACACTCCCATCTCACTCTCACGCATTGAAACACAGGCCAGGGGAATGGAGCAAGGCCGGTTTCCTAGATGAGGATGTAGGTGCCACTGGTGCTTTAGAAGAATGTGGTTCATGACTTCAGAAAATCTACTAGAATCTCCCTTTTCCTCTGCACTGTTTCTGGGAGAATGATACTCCATCCTCCACAGTAAAAAAATGAATCACAGTATCAATGGAGTGGTCCCCAGATGCAGAGCCCAGACTTAGGAGCAGCTTTCCTTCCCAATGTATATATTTTTTATCACAGTTTTTTTAGAAGAGAAGGGAAGCGAATAGGCTTATAACTTTTAAACTTGTGCTTAAACAAATTATAGTCCGCTACTTATCACTGTGTGTATACAGGACTTGCAAAACTGAACACTCAAGCCCAAGGATCTTTGGTACGTGGTGCATTCAATCAACAAGAAGTGAAGAGAGTCACACAGGTAACCTGCCCCAAGGTCCCCAGAGCAGCAAGCAGGAGCCTACAGAGGCTCTGCACACCTCTTCCCACCCCCTCCTCATCCCCTCCTGAAACATCCATGATCCCAACACAAAAGATTTGCTTGCTTCATAGTTAGGCAAATTTGGAATCATGAAAGAATAAACTGGGTTGAATTGTGTGAATCGCAATGTTCAAGATGTATGTGGGGGGCATCGTCCATGTGTTTGAGTGTGATTTAGCTCCTGCATTTTTGTCCCACGTGGCTTATGATTATATGGACATGCCAAGCTGCATCTGTCCACGCGGCTATTGATAGACACCTAAGCTCTTTTGAATACAGCTGCTGTGATACACACACCCTGGTGTGCACCTTTTGGTGGCCTCAGGGCTGTAGTTTGGCTGGCATTTACCTAAATGTGAAATCACATGCTTATGAGTGTGTCGCGGTTCTACCTGAGAAATGACCATGCATATGTTGGGCTCAGAGGTAAAGACCCAGTTTCTTCCCACCACGAGCTCATGAAGATTCTATTTGCCTCACAACCTCCCATCACAGAGATGGACATTTCAATTTCCATTGTGCTAGTAATTAGTGAGTATGGATGTTTCTTGATATTTTACAGGAGACCCTTGGATATCTCTTATGAAGTTCACATTTATTTCCTGGCTTTTTTTCTATTGGGTCATATGCCATTTTCTTATTGATTTTAGAGTTCTTTATATATTCTGAGTATAAGCCAGGTGATGCATATAGAGCTTGAAATAATTTCTCCAGTGTCCTGGCTTCTCTGTGGACTCCAACACAGTTAACTGATGATCAACTTTGTGGTGACTGATGTCGAATCTTTGCTTGTGCGTGGAGATTTTCCCTGCTGTGGTCCTCTACATCCGTCACAGTGTGGACGCCCTTTGCATCTAAATGTGGCATGATTAATACCTCGGGTGGGATTGCTGTCCTCACATTGCAGCCAGTACACGCTCCCTGGTGATGGCCAAGATGGCCTTCCCTGCTCTCTGCAGTGGCAGGTATGCCCGGTGGGTGGAGGCTCCTGGGTGTGAGTGAGCACCACGTTCTCTGCAGATTCCAGGGGTCTGCTGCCCTCATCCTGCATTTTCTTCTGTCTGAATTAGTGTCACAAGTCCTGGCAAGCATGTTTCCTCCACCTTGGCTCTGATTCCTCCTCGTGCTTCCTAATCTTCTCAACCTCAACATTTTTATTTATCTTAGAACCAGCACGCATATTTTGGCCAGAGCTATGTTAAGATTCTGACAGGATGTGCATTATTCTAGGATCAATATGGTGAAATGAACTTCTTCCCTCTATCCTTCTTCCCACATCAGCTCTCCTTTTATACATTTCTTTAAAAAAAATCCTCTGGAATATTTAATCATTTTCCTTGTGGATTTTTAATCATTTGTTTTTGTGGATCTTCCTTTAGATTTATTTCTGGTATTTAATTTTTTGGGGGGGGTCCTGTTGTAAAGGGCAACATGTTGAAAATCATTACAACACTTTCTTGGTACAATGTATGGCTGGTGTTCAGACAAAAAAAAAAATGCACGGATTTGGTAATCAGCAACCTTGACAAATCTACTCCTTAATGCTATTTTTCTATAGCTGGTTGGCGTTTTCATTGTGTATGGGTCTGCATGTGAATGTCCATATACATTCATGCTATGTCAAAATCATGAATTTTACTTCTTCTTTTGCCTTATGTAGATAATTCCTTGGACTTGGGAACTGACCAGGTCCTTGGTGGAAAGTTGAGTAAAGGTGGGACAACAGGAAGCTCCTGCTATTCCCAAGACCCAGGAGACAGAGTTCAACCTGCGGCCATTAGGGTTAAGAGACATCCACGGAGCAGACTGACAGACTCTTCCCACAAAGGATTGTAGAGCAAACATCCAGAACTCGTGGTCTTTCTATTCCTCCCCCCCCTTCTCCTTTGATGAACATTTAAAATACCCAGGTAAAGAGGGCATTAGTGCTAGGGAGGGAGTCCGCAAACTCCAGCTCTCTGATGAAGAAAGTTCTGGACTCTTTCTATTTTCTACCCGTCAAAAATGCAGAGTTGTAGTTTTCAAAGAATTGTAGCCACAAATAAGACCAGGCATTTTATATATTTTTCCCTGAGTCTATTGAGATGAACATAGACTGTTATTCCTTCATGGGTCTGAAAATTTACATGTTGTTATTTTTGTACCTAATATATAATAAAATATTTTATTTTCGTGGCTTTTTAAGCTAGCCATAATACAACATCTTTACGCATTCATTCATATTAAAATAAAAGTTGTGACGTTAACCGGCTTCTATAATTCACCCTCAGAAGCAGCTACTTTTGTGGGTTAGCGTCTTGATTCTTTTGTATAGACCCTAAATTAAAATGTGCAAAATCTAATCATGTGACCCTGCAACTCCTTGATATTGTTGGCTGAACAGTAAATGTGCTTGCCTAAAAAAAGAAGTTGTTATTATTATGGTATGGAAGTCTGTGTTGAGGGAAAAAAAATAATGGTGGATACTTATCTGCAAAATTCAACTGAAGTCTTGAACGTAATCTTCAAATCCATGGAAGTTTCCCATTTTATCAAGCCTGGGAAATAATGAGGTGCTTACAAATCAGAATTGGGGATACTAGCTCAGGAATGTAAAACAGAAATAGGCACTCCACTGACTAGTGGGGAAATGTGGCAAAGGGGTAGGGACACTGCTCTGGGGTCCCTTGTCTCTGTGGGCATTTGACGCATTTCCCAGGGCTGGAGACAACTGTGAGGCTTCTCACACTGCTGGTCACGATGGTAAAGAGGACAGATGTGGTCTCCAACTTCACAGAGCTCTCTGCCTGGGAAAAAAGGCCAAGAAAATGACACACAATGACAGGGGGTAGGCACCCCCAGGAGACCAGTTTGTGGGGCTGGTCAGGCCCAGGGCAGTTGGAGGCGTCAGCCTGTGCCAAGGGTCAGCACTGAAATGAAGTGGGAAAGAACGTGAGCTCCCGGAGATCACATGACTGGGCTTGGCCAGGTGGGTCACCAGGAGAATTTCAGCCAGATGGAGGTCACCCCAAGGTAAGGCTGAGAGGGTGTGGGACAACTAGGTCTGTCCTGACCCCACAGTGTGGGAAAGATGGGCCTGCTCAAGGGTCAGGGGTGAGATCTATGTACGGGGAGGCCCTGCCGATGGCCAGCGTGGGAGTGGCTGCAGTTTACATTAACAACAGACAACCCTGGGGGGTGGTGGCTGGATACCAGTGTTTGATTGGAGAGGCCGCTAGATTTGTCAAGGTGTGGTGCTCACTCACCTGGGTGGAGTGAAGGACCAGGTAGACCGTGGGCTCCGAGGGTTGGCTTCCTAGAGACCCTGGGTTTGGCAATAGATCCCCTGTTCCAACCAGACTGCTCGGTTGGAGCAGGAGCTGGGGGTGCCCGGCAGTGCTCCATGTCCTCATGCCCCATGTCCTCGTGCTCCATGTCCAGCCTCTGTGGCCGAGTCTCTGCTTCTCCTTCTGCAGAGCTCTGCTTTTTGCCATGCCAAGCAGGGCACCTTCTCCACAGCTCCATCTGGATGGCAGAGGCACCTGAGTGCTCTCTCTGTGACGCCCTACATGCAGATGCATCTCACGTGGCCCATGCCACTGTAACTCTGATTTGCAATCCACTTGATAATAGTCTCCATGAGACTAGAAACCACTCTATGGATCCAGCAGCATCTGAATAATTCTGAGGCTCTGAAACTCAAATGCCTTTGGTGACTACACAGGTCACATAAACGTGGGAGCCGTCACGTTGGGTCAGTGGTTGATAAGGTTGCTTCCCTTTTTCCAAATGACACTTCAGCCAGTTGCACATTTAAAAGATGCTGTATGGAGACCGAAGATGGATGTGGGAACGCTGGTTCTTCACACTGTTCTCTGTACTTTGAATATGTGTGGAATCTTCCATAGTAAGAAAGTTTATAAAGAGCCAACTGCAGCCAAAGACACACCAGCCTTAGTCTCCTAGTTGTGCACACTCTGTGCTCCCACACACATCTCTGTGGCAGATGGGTGGCCCGAGGCTCACACTTGGGGTGAAGGAAACTGTTTATCTCCAGGCTGCTTCCAATAGACTCTCTCCACCTTTTTAAAACTTACCTTTCCAGGAGCACAAAAGGGGGGCAGCCAGGGTCCTGCTGTATCCATGTGGCAGGTGACACCAGGGTGGGAACATCAGTGGGATTTAGGATAAGAAACCTGCCTGAGCAATGCCTGGTCCCCACTGGCCACTGGCCTTGACCTGGGCTATGAACAGGGCTCTATGAGGTCATGATGACCAAACAGTGTAAGATTCAAACTCACATCTGACCAGGGGCTCACACAGTTCATGCACACCACAGGGGCAGCAGGTGGGGTTCACCAGCCCTTCCTGAGTGACAGGCCTGGGGCTGAGGACTGTAGCTACAGAAACGGTTAACTTACTAGGAAGTCAGGTGGCTAATCTATGAGTGTATATACCAATGCTGGCAGGCATGGGGCTGTTCTCTGAGCAGAGGCCATGGCAGGGTCCCCAAGCCAGCAGTGAGCCCATGCCTATCCCTGCCTGGGGTCTGCACTCTGGGGTTGGCCTTCATGGGGACTCAGGATTGCATAGCCAGTGATCAGTACATCTTAAAACCAGCTGTGACCCTCGTGTTTGCTGGGGGCACAGGGCCACTTTCCTTTTTATCAGACTTCAGGGGAATGAAAGTGAGTGTACCTTCCTTCCTGCCCAGTGAAGGAAGACCTTCCAGGTTCCCACCTTGCTGGAATGACCAGGAGGCCAGAGGGTCAATGGCAAACATGGACAGTGCTCTCCTCTGTCCCTTCTCCCCCAGCTGTACTGGAGACAGACCCGCACAGCACAGGGACAATGCTCATCACCAGGCCTGGGTGCAGTGTGGTCCCAGATGCTGGGTGAACTCCACTGTGTCAGCCCGTGAGGTCCCCATTCCCTCAAGCCATCTTCCCTCAGGCCCTACCTTTGTAGACTGTGCCAATGGGTTTCTCAGCACATACGTAGGTGTCACTCAACCTGATCACAAAGGCTGATGACCCGGAACAAGGTGATTTATGGAGATTGGAGAACAAACAGTCTAACAGGGTTGGATTTGCACTCTCCTAGGAACGCCTGAATACACACCACCCAGACACACAGCTCTCGCTAGGAGAGCCACTTTCTAGTCCTTTGAACTATTATGCCTTTTATCTTTAGAGTTTAGTTGAAAGAATCAACAGAACAAAAAGCGTCAAAGTGGAGTGGTAGATCCCATTAAGAAAGAAATAAGCAGAGATGAGTCAGGGATATTGTTGACTAGCCCCGTGATAGTCCTCAAGAACAGAGAAAATGATACAAAGGGCCCTTATATCTTTGTGCACATAAAACCACTCTTAATTACATTTTTTTCACATTGTTATTCATATTGGGGTGCTCCCCACCCCTTTCTTTTCTAAACATTCTTAACAAGTTCTATTTTTCTGACTGGCTCAAGACACAGTAATCGTGGCCAAGCCGGCCGGCCTCTTGAGGTCTCTGGGGCTCTTGCCTGGATCCCGGTGCTGTGGTTTCGATCCTCCTGCAGGATAGACCCACGTGAGTGCAGCGAGGTGGGGTGTACTGGCAGCAGGGGCTCCCCACCTGATGAGTGGCGTGGCATGGTGGGGGGCCCTGTACCCCAGAGCCCTGGGTTTCTCTACCCCAAACTTAGGATGCCATCTTGCACACTCACAACAGAAGAGTCCAAGGTGCTTCAAGGGGCAAGCCTCTCCATCTTCCCAACACACACCATCCCAACCTGCAGGGACCCCAGCACTGCCTCTTAGGTGCGTGTGGTGCTAGAGGGAACAGAGACGATCATGGCTAATGTAAGACACACAAGTGTTACTTTCATTCCCTAAAATCATTTCTTTAATAGTATGAGCACAGCAGTCAGAAGAGCAGCTGTCACACAAAATCATAATGGCCAACTCTTCCCCAAACTGCCAACAAAGTCTACACGGCCTCTGGGACTTTCAAGGTTCCTGGGGCTAAATATGGGTTAGAGGCTTTCTAGATATTAATGCAGGACACACACACACACACACACACACACACACACACACTATTTGTATTGTTTCCTGAAGGCAAAGTAAGCTTTGTGATCAAATGCAGAAGTCCATGGAGCACTAGGCAACAAGACCCTTGTTGGTGGCCTCCTATCTGCTGCTCTATCCCCACACCCCAGCCTCCAGACGACCTTCTCAAGGTCATCTGGTGTGCTACCCATGGTCTTGGTCAGACGCACACTCACAGAACATGCACAGAAACTGGGCACACACGGCAGGGGCTTCACGCCCTGGCCCTGGGAAGAGGTGCGGAGACAGGGGTGGTGATTCAGCAGCTTGTCTCAGATGAACAGCAGGCCAAACTGGTCCCTAATGGTCCTGAGAACGTGATGGGCTTTAACTGTGGTCCCTGACTCCAGCTCTCCTGGTCACTCCCCTGCTCTTGTGTTTGCAGCTTACACAGTGAGCAGGGCCTGGGTCATCTGGCTTTGCACAGACTGGGAACAGTGGGATATTAGGACAGATAGTCAGGAGCTACTTGACCTGCAATGGCTGAAATAATTCATAAAATTATCCACAGAGAAGTTACTTAAAACCCAATTAAAAAAAAAATATTGAAATGCCCTGTGTTCACCCACCAGCCTTTTTACTCAGGACCTAAAACATGTGGCAAAACTCCTCCTTATTTCAAAACTCGGTTTGTGGTGAAACCTGGATGTAAATGGGGAGCAACTTTAAAGACAGCAGGTCCTAGCAGGTGGGAGGATGTTGAGTGGAACAGGTCATGGCAGCAGGAAGAGGCAGGACAACCAAACATCTGAACATCTTCTGGACTCCTGAAACACCGGGCCTTCTCCAGGAAGGTGGAAAGAAAATTGGGAAAATTCTAGACAGGAGCAAGAGGAGGATGATCTGTTTTTCTGTGGACTGTGCAGGTTATCAGGTTGGCCGGTTCTTGGAGAGGGAGTGGCCATTTGCCAGACGTGGGGAGGCAGGAACGGGGAGAGAATCATGGAGTCTCCTCCAATGCCAGCCCCTGACCCCCAGCCTCCCAGAGCGTGTGGCTCATCTCTGAGACATCTCCAGGTGGGGCGCACACTGTGTTAGTCCACTCTTCACCTCTGTGACCAAGGCTCCTGACAAGAACCGCTTGGGGAGGAACAGTTGGTTTTGGCTCGTGGTTTCCGAGGGTCAGTCCAGGGCCAGCAGGCACCATGGCTCTGGGCCTGAGTAAGGCGGGGTATGGTGGAGGAGAGATGCTCAGCTCATGGTGGCCAGGAAGCAGAGAGAGAGGGGTCAAGAATCCAGGACACAAGGTGACCCCCACAGGCACACCCAGTGACCACTTCCTCCAGCATCCTTCCCAACTAGTAACCTGTGGGTCTGCCCACGATGAGGTCACAGTTCACACAGCCTGATCAGGAGTTATCAGCCAACTGTGACACATGATGTAAGTGCCAACTGTGACACATGATGTAAGTGCCTCTGGACTCCCACGCATGTCTGGGAGCCTGTGCCTGTGTAAGCCATCCACATCAGGGACCGTGTGTGAAAGTAGCTTTGTACTGAAGTGTTACTGGAAGACCACTATGTCCATTAGCATTTGTGACCTGCTGTGGGTGCCCCAGTGTGGGGCACACGGCTGCCACCATCCTTGGTGCCATGGAGCCCTGACATGAAGGTTCTTTCCAGGTGATGGCTCTGGGTTTAGGCTTTATGCTGTCCGTTCAGCCTCAGGCCAGCATTTCCTGGCCTTGGCTAAGGGGCTCCGCAGACAGAATACCACGGCCATGTGCTCAGGTCTCCTGGGATCCCTGGGGCCTCCTGGTCAGTGTCTGTGATTTTCCTAGAAGATGCCTCAGCCCACAGCTCAGCTTCCTGTGACCTCACAGACCCAGGGTCTGGAGGTTAAGGTTCTAGCCACCGCAGGTCCCTGCCACGGAGCCACAGTGCTGGCACAGGACAGCTGAGCCCTTACCTCGGTGAGGACATCCCTGAGCTGCGACCTTAACTCCAACATCCCCATCAGAATCAGGGTGCAGCCAGATGATAGTGTCCGTTCCTGTCCAGGCCAGGTCACGTGAAAGCAAGATGTGCTATAGAACAGAGCAGGTCAGAGGGCAGTGTGGCCGAGAAGAGCTACCCAGGAGAGCCGAGCAGAGTCTGGGTACTGAGTGTACAGGGTGACAAGTGTGTGGGTCACGAGGAAGGGAAGCCTTCATGCGCAGAGAGCAAGGAGCCAGGAGAGTGGAGCTGCCCCATGTGCCCTCCCAAGTCTGGGGAGTTGCTGATGAGAAGTGGCCTCCTCCAGGACCTCCACATGGCCTCCTCCAGGACCTCCACATGGCCTCCTCCAGGACCTCCACGCGGCCTCCTCTGGGACCTCCAAGTGTCCTTCAGGACCTCCACATGCAAGTTCCTCTAGTTCCTGGAAGAAAGGTGGACAGCAGTAGCCTTGCTGTGGGGTGGGAAGAGCACAAGTCACCTGAGGCCCACTCCCTCCGTGACTGGGCATCAGCAGTGGAGGGCGGGGCTTTGTGTGGGAGAGGGAGTGCTGGCCGTGACGTCAGAGCATTGCCTCTCCTGGAGGGAGGCTGTCTGGTGTGCTGAGAAGCCAGAGTGAGCTCAGGGAGGCTGAGAGTACAAAGCACCTTCGCATTCTGAGGTTTGGTGCTCGGGCTGTGGTGGGTCAGAAATGACACCTCTTCCCTGGTGACATCTGAGCCTGAGTACAATTCCCTTCATGCCTTTATCCTCTCTACTCTCAGGAGTCAAATGTGGCCAGAAGGCCCCGGGAATCACACATAGAGGCTGCCTGGATGCAGCCTTCACGGTCAGCGTCCTCACACCCTGACCACACCTGTTTTGCTGGGCTACGTGTCAAGTAGAACTTTGTGATTTCTTTGAAATCTATCATCTCTTATCTATCACCTGTCCACCTACCTACCTGCTGCAGGCTTAATAAGATCAAGGTACTCTCATTTTACCTACCATATAAAGCTGAGAGAAGTGATTTTATTAGGACCACAGAGCTTGAGAGCAATAAAGCTGTGATCTGAACAGTGTTAACTTAGCCCCCTTCATTCTAGACTCTGACTGTGGAACGACATATTAGAAAGTGCACCTTGGCTTACAGTAGCAAACTTCTGGAAAGTTCTAGCTTCTTAGGTGGATGGTTCTGTAGAGTGCCCTCTGTTTGGCCCAAGTCCTCGGTG